TCTAACAAGGAAATTAATGGATATTCATTGCCGAAACATACAATTTTGAATCAATTTAGATCCTTGATTTTACTACTTTATTATAATTATGGGTTTGGATGAGTAATTTAGATGAAAGAGAAATAAAAATTAGATTTAGATCTTAGATTAGATTCATATTATATTCAATTTACGTGTGAATCAATATAAAGAATTTTAAAAAATTTTGTGAATATCGTTTTATACACAATTTTAGAGATTTTTCGATGAGAAAAAAATCATTGATTGTTTGTTGAAAAAAAATCAAATCATAAATTCCTTTTCAATTTAACATTATAATCATTTACAATATTCATTTATTTCTATATATAATTATTTATTAAAATGCTTAAATATATATTCATAGCTATATTATAATATATATTGATCCACTTTTTTAATATTTCGAACAATAAATTATCATCGAAATAGATATATATATTCCAAATTAAACAACACGATTATTCGAAAAAAATTTCCACTAACGTCAAGAAAAATTGCATGTAAAATCCGTGCAAACGAAATTCCATATCCAGGATTTAATCACGAGAGGGCGTGTCCTATTCGAAAGAAATTCAAATTCAAAAAAAAAAAAAAAAAAAATTCCAATTTCCCTTAGAAATGATTCCCCGACCCATTATCGGGCCAAGAAGGGGCGAGGATAATCCACACAGTCGAAGCAATTTGATCGATGCGGAATATTTACACGCGAACGTTCGTTCCATCGTGGTTTGCCAGAAAGGGCGGGAACACGGCTGGATGAGGAGGAGGGGGAGGTAGATTTATTTCAACGGCGAGCATTCGTCGAACGTTATTCCAGAAGTTTCTGGAGAAAGTGAGATACGCGAGTAGTGAGATCCAGGGGGTTTCGAAATAAATTAGCGCGTAGAACCACCCCTTTGATTATTTACCGCCCCCTCCTTCCTCCTGTGTCAACTCGAGGATCGATTCGCCACTTCCTGTTCTCCACAGCCTTGTGACGTCATCTTACGCACGAGATCCTCCTCTTGTGAAGTCGGTTCATTGCTCGACTTCAACTACTGAGAAGAGGGGAAAATGGTCGATTTGATTTGACATATTGAATGATCATTTAAAACGACTATATCTATTATTATTGTTAAATGTAGATTTTTTAACTTCATTTTGTTTCCATATATCCAATCTATCGAATTTTTTTTTTATTTAAAATAGTAAGAGCAAGGATAAAATTGATCTAAAATGTAATGGATTTTCTCCATGGACTTTTCTCCACTGTGACGTCATCTTACGCACGAGACCCTCCTCTTGGAGGATCATTGCTCGACTTCAACTACTGAGAAGAGAGAAAAATGGTCGATTTGATTTGACATATTGAATGATCATTTAAAACGACTATATCTATTATTATTGTTAAATGTAGATTTCTTAACTTCATTTTGTTTCCATATATCCAATCTATCGAATTTTTTTTTTATTTAAAATAATAAGAGCAAAGAATTAATCTAAAATATATTGATACAATCTACACTTTTATGCAATTAATATAATTCTCCTCTTCTAATCGATATAAAATAGTAAGAACAATAAACGTATATCGTGAATGGCTATGATGTTAAATTGAAAAGGAAATTCATAATTCGATTTTCTCAAAATGAAAAAATCTACAATATTTTTTTTTTCAAATTTTCCTGATCGATTTTCTTAAAAATTAAATCTCATAAATCACATCTCCATCCATGATTGGATGCAAACATGATATGACAATGCTTTCGTTTCGCGTAAAACGAGATTCACATTTTTGCGAATGTCGAAAATAGAAAAAACGGATACGCGAGAAAAGGAAGAATGAAAGAAAGGAAAGAGGAGAAAAGAGGTAATAATAATAATAATAATAATAATAATAATAATAATAATAATAACGATCCCGTTAGTAACGACTAGGTAACAAGGGAGGAAAAATGGACGATAAGAGATGGTGTCTAGATCGAAGGGGGATGAACGAGGCGCGTTTCGCTCGTAAAAAGTTGGACCACGTTGTCCGAAGAAGACCAAGCCAGCCTTATTGCGCAGCCAAGCGGCTAGGATGCCGGAGATTGTGTAGCTCGTAACCTCCACTGTCCCTCTTTTGTCGTGGAAACTGCTGGAAGGGAGCCCAGTCGCCGAGCTTTATCACTGCGGAGTGTAATTCGAGCCCCCCTCCCCTTGATTTTTCAAAATTTATCGAGGTCTATGAGGATTGGTTGGTCAACTGACGGCCATACTGTGTTTTATCCCTCTAAAATTTTGTATAAAATTTTGTATAAAATTACGTGGAACGTGAGAAAGAATATTTTAAATTATAATATTTGGATAATATTTTACGAAATATTTTACGATGGATATCGGTAGTGGATGCTCAACTGTTAAAAAAAAATGTTCGTTAACTCGATTGAAAAGGAAAATAAAGTTAAATACTCGAACGATTGAAATGGAGAGAGTTTTAAGTAGAAAGCATCGGTCGTTAGTCAGACAATTTCCAAGAATGAATAAATTTTCCTAGATTTCGAAATTTCAGGAATCTTTGTCTTCTTTTAATGTAGATGAGAAGAAAAAGAATCGAATACTTATAAAAATATGGTATCTATTAATCCTACAGAATCACAAAAGTTTAAGTAGAAAGAATCAATCATTCGTCCTAAGAATGGAAAAATTGTCTAAACTTGTTACTTAAATCTCGAAATTTCATATATCTGTAAAAAATACAATTCACTAATCTTCAAGTACGTTCAAAAAATAGAAAAGTTTCTCAAACTTTTACAAATTTCAAAATTTCATGAATTTTTATTTTCTCTACACTATCACATAGAGAACTGTCAACAAAAAGAATCACAAATTTAAGTAGCAAGTATCAACCACAAAAAAGCTTACTTCTATAAATTTCAAAATTTAATGAATTTTTACCTTAAAAATCATATCAGCGAAGCACAAATTCAAGCGGTAAATATCGATCATTAATGAAACGCGTTCCAAAAATGGAAAAAAAACTTTCCAAACTCCCACAAAGCCTCGAAATTTCACCAATCTCCAGTCTCTCTGTAGATTTCCAATCTTCCAAAAAAAAAAAAAAAAAAAAAAACTTTTCCAACCCCCCCAAAACCCCGAAATTTCCCCAAACCCCCGGGCCCCTTGTGAGTTCCAAACTTCCAAAAAAAAAAAAAAAAAAAAAAAAGGGAAGGCAAGAACCTATGAAAGAGTCGGTGGTGGTTTCGAGGGTTCGAAGTGGGCGCAATATTTCACGGATGAATCCATCCTGGGTGCTGTACTTCGTCGGGGCTGTACACCGTGTAATTAGACACCGACGTTCTAATTCACCAGGTCCAAGGGAGCGGAGTATTGGTTTTCACCTCAGCCCGCGTGTAACGAGCCGAACTCCCTAATTGAACTCCGCAGGAATGCTCCTAGGATGGAACATTCCTCTCCACCTGGGTCACAATACGTGGATAACCGTGGACGAGCAATGCGGCGACAGGCCGCATACCTTCGGTCAACCTCGAATATTACTCTGACTGATGAGAAGTCAGTCCGTCTTTCCATTGGGTCTAACCTCTCTAATGGATTTATTTGTTAGGAGACACTGAGGATTAGTTTGGAAGAAAAATGATTGTAACGGAATATCTTAGAATTAATAAAAGAGTGGAGAATTTTCTGAGTAGATATGTAGATTTGGAATTGAATTATTATTGAAATTGAAGAGCTTACAGTCTGTCTAATCCCTGATTTAATCTTTTTAATGAATTTATTTTGTAGAGAGATGGAAGAGAATAGAAGATGAATGATAATATGAAAATATCTCAGATATAATAATGCAGCTAAGTGAGAATTAGAATTGTGTTTTTTAATAAATATGTTTCCATATGTCCTAATACTTGCATCTTTTTCAAATTGACATATACAGATCTATTATATAAAAAAAAAATATTAATATATTAATATGATGTTTTAATTTAAAAAAATGCTAAAAATACTAAAAGAATATAAAATTGTTTATTTTTTAGGCACTTGAATTTGAATGCTATTGAAATTAATCAATTTGTTTCTTCTAGTATTTGCAAAGAATTTATAAATACCTTAGAAGAAAAATGACAACATATGTTTTAAATCAATGAGAAGCTAAATGAAAAGCTATATTTCTATATTCTCAAAAGAACATTAAAAATTCCCTTATAATATTCTACTTAAACTTGTATCCTGCTTCAATCCCTTGAAATATATTATATCTATTAAATACCAATTTATAACTACAAATAAATAACTTAGAAGAATATTTGAATAAATTCTCACATTCAATCCTACTAAAAATACACTAAAACCATCAGTCACAAAAAAAATCCTTCCAAATCAAAAGTGCAATTTGCCAATTTAAGTCTTACAACGCGTAGTCCAAAATCTTTCCACAGGAATGTAGAGAATCTAGGATTAAAACGAGGTCGAGAAAACTTTCGGATCTGCCGCATCGATAGAGAATCGTGCACAACCACCCAACTCGTTAAACCGAGGACTCGTAAATCCGGTCTCATAGTTCCGATCCGTCGAAATCTCTAGGAAACGCATTTTCCCCGCGACGAGGAGGGAAAAAGTTGGCAGGATACGGCTCGAACTCGTTCAATTGCGGCATAAACCCTGTCTCGGCGCAGCTTCAGCCTCGAGAGCCCTTATGTATTTTATATACGTTCGCATAAAGGGCATCGCGGCTCTCGAGCGGCACGGGGAAACACAAGACGTTTCTCAAAGGACCAGCTGTTCTTCCTCCTCTTCCTCCTCTTCTTTCTTATCTTCTCTCCTCGTTGCTTCTCGAGGAATCGTGGCGACCAAGGGTGGAAAGGAGGAAAGGGGTTGGTTGGTTGCTCGAGTCGACAGAAATAAGAAGCGGGCGGCTCTTGCTCTGATTTGCAAAGGTATTTCCGGAATTACTCTCTCCACGCTTTTTTCTTCTCCTTTTTCTCTCTCTCTCTGTTTTTCTTTTATCTGTTTCGTTTTGTCGTTTCTCTTCGATCCGAACAGAGATTTTTTAAAAAAACGAACCAAGTTTTCACGATTTGTTAGGTTAGGATTTATAGAGCATCGTTGATTTGGTGATTTCGTCAAGATTTCGCGAAGAATGGATCCTGTAAGTGATTAATTATAATCGAGAAATTTAATTATGATTCTTCGAAACGAGTGTATAATTGATAGTAATGAATAATATATTCGAAGACTTTTATGATAATCAAGTTTGAAAACATTAATACGAGATTTGATCAAAAATTTCGCTTAACCTAATTTTCAAATAGAATTAAAAAGCTTTGAACGAAAAAAAATTTGTTCTACGTTTCTTACTTACTTTTTGCACGTAGAATAACCTCCTCCTGCCGATTATTCGATCCAAGTATTTAGACATTTCCATTTAAAACTTTATACAATCGATAATCTTGTTTCAATATCATCACTCACCAAAAAAAAAAAAAAAAAGAAAAAAAGGAATATAGACAGACTGCAA